GGGGAAGCAAAGCGGGGGGGTGGCCCAAAGTGTGCGTGCTCGCTCGCTCGCTCGCTGCCCGATGGCTTCGGTCCTTCGCCTCCGCCCCAGATAAATTATAGGAGCGGGGAAGCCGGGGAGGGGGCGGCTGTCCCGGGCTGCGCAGGCACATCCCCCTGTCAGCACACCCCCCGGGTGTGTGTTAAAATCAGTCGGAGGGGGGGTTCTGCTCGGGGTTTTTCCCCGAGGAGCACACTCCTTTCCCCGCAGTGAGGGAAGGAGAGAGGGGAGCAGGTGATGATCTGAAAACAAGCGGGTCAACGCCGACCCCCCCCTCCGGGTAAAGTATCATCCAAGTGGCTGTGACTCTCACGGAGCCATGGGGCCAGCACCTTTCCACGGTCCGGTCCAGGACTCCTTCAGGAGGCCCTTTCCGCACCAGAGGAGCCAGGGTCACAGATACAGACATAGATACAAAGTTCGGGATCACGCGTGTGCGTGTGTCTGTGGGTACATACGCACGTCGGGTGGGTTGTTTTTTGTATTTTTTTTTCTCCCCTCGCCCTTTTCACCCTGAGTGAATCTTGCCAAATTGGCAATTACTCCAACGGACAAAGCTCTCAAATATCTGGACACTTCTCAGCCAAACGGTATCAAAACGGAAAACTTCCAAATGAACTTCCCCGACCGCTTCAGGACGGCAGCGCGCAGCGCTAATGAAAGGCGAACATGTCAGGGGGGGAATTCTTTGATCTCCACCAAGTTTGCTGAAGCAATCATTCAAAGTAAAATTGGATAAACAGCTAAATACGGTCGGTGGCTCCGGAGCATTTCAGAGTGCATTAAAAAGCCAAGGTTTTCGCAGCATATTACACGATTTTCCAATGACCTGTTTTATGGGAGTTTAAGAAGCGACTTATCGTTAAGAGAAGGGCGATCGCGTTCTTGTTTGGCAGATGCGAAGCGGCGTTTAAAACCGACTGCGGATCCCATCCCACTCGACTAGGGAAAGGGAAGCGACAATTGTGCTCTAAAGCAGAAAACACGGACTACGCCTGATTACGGGAGGCTGAGGCTAGGGAGAGAATCAATAGCCTTAAGGTGTTTAGAGGCGGTTATCGCGAACAAGGGCCGGACCGGGACGCGGACATCCTACCAGCCCTCCCGCACACCCACTTTCCTGCTGTTAAAATCCACGAAAATAAAATCGCTGCCCGCCTTCTGACGGAGAGGGCATTTCCTCGCCTCTGGGACCAGCGAGACTCAGCGGTACAACTCCTACCTTGTTAAGAGAAGGGACAGGTCTCGCCCTGCTGTCCCATCCTCGTCCCCAACCTGTCCCCTTCCCCCCACCTCCCCGAGCAGGGCCCGGCTCGACCCCAGACCTGCTCGCCTGTCCCCAACCCGTCACATCCCCGACAGCCCTGAGCGGGCACGATGCACCGGTGTTTTTAGGGACACTCCGCACTCGGCGATCTGAGGATTTATGGATGGCAATTAAAGTTTTATGAATTGCAGCTGAGGCTGGTTATGGAGCTATTTGAATGTGATTAGAATTCAATTAGAAAGTGTTTACCGGCCGGCGGGGCTCCGGAGTGTAAACAGACAGCTATTCCAGCAATGCGCTAATCCCGCGTCTTGTGACAACAATTAGGGACTCGCGGGGTTTAGGCGGGTCGGCTCCCACCTCACCTACTTTTCCCCCAACCTGCTGCCGAGGGCTCAGCCGAGGCCGCGGAGCCCCGGGCAGCGGCGGGGCCCGGGAACTCTGCCCGCCCCGCCGCCAGGGTGCTAGGGAGCTCGTTCCCCGGGATGCGACGGATGACACCCCATCCCCTCCTCTGCCTCCCCCCCTCCCCCGGGGCTCTGCCTCCTGAGCTCCCGTGGTGCCGGTGAGATTTTAATCATGGTCACAGTGCCCAAGCATGGGATTCTGCCTTGCTCTCCCCGTTTAAAACACAGTTAATCTGGAGGAGATTTGGATGAATCTCTGCGTTTTCTTTATTTTTATTTTATTTTCCTTTTCGAGAGGCTATTCTGAAAAAGGGTAATAATAATAAAAACATCCATTGGCCTCAGTGGAAATAACTGTCTGCAGTGATAGAGCAGATCTGGGGAGGGGGCTGTCGTAAAGGAAGGCAGACAGAGCAAGAGTCGGATCAAAATTGCAATTTGTAATTGTTATAATAAACCAAGTGCAGTGATAAAAGAGAGGAGGAAAAAAACCCCACCCCAATACCCACAAAGAAAAACCCACCCCTGAAAGCCAGAGCAAGAAAATAAGTCATTTGAAAGCAAAGATATCCCAAACCAGGCGGAATGATGTAAGGCGTGCGCCCACATCACATCGGCCTCGTTACAATTTTATTTTTCAATAATTCTGTCCGATAAAATTTCATTGTCCATTAAGTAATCCCCGAAATGAGAGCTCTTATGAGCCTATAATGAGCTCTAATTGCTACGACTGGGAGAGCCACGTGGAAGGATTTAGAAGGTATTAAGCAGTTGGGTACAGAGCACAGGCTGTTACCTAGCCATTACTTTCATAATTCAAGGAGAAAATTAGTCCTTTTAAGGGAAAATCCTTTGATTCCCTTCATTCTGCTCGGGGTGACAGAGTATAGCTTTGTCTGCCTTTAGTTCAAGACAGTGTAACAAATGAGAATGTAACGAAATTGCCCCCTTTTGAAAGTGGAGCGTTTCAAAAAGAACATCAGAGCCGCTCCCCTGGTCCGCCGAGCGCAGGACTGGGTGCTGGTCCCTCTTTTCTTCCAGATGTCTTTAACACCTTTATGTAGAAGAGATTCACGGCTTTAAATGACAAAAGCGACCCTTTTCCCTCCTTCCCTCCCCCAACCCCCGCAGCTCCCGGCAGAAGAAAAAGCCCTGCACGCCCGCCCAAAACATCTCCGCCGAGTTCACGGGAGGAGCTGCCTCCGTGGACATGTTCCGACCGGCAGGAAAAAAAAAAAAAAACAAAAAAAAAAAAAACACAAAAAGAAAACCCCCAAATCACTCAAAAAAGCCCCTCTGCAGATCGGCCGTGGTCGCAAACATCCTTGCGGGGTGGGCTGCGGCGGGGCTGGGCAGGACGCGCCCTGGGGCTGGGTCAGTCCCCGGGAAGGGAAAGTCCCCCTCAAAATCGAGCCCTGCGTGGGTAAGCGAGGGGCCGCAGGTTCCTGCGCTGTTAATCGCATTTATTCGCTAATCTAACATTGATTTCCTATTAGTTTCCAAAGCGATCGGCGATCTCCGAGCAGGGTTTTGTGAAGCGAAGGCGAGCAAAAGACGCGACTTGCCCCCAGCTCCCATTAAGGAGGTCATTATAAAAGCGTGAACAAGTCTATTAATGTTTTATTGAAAGCGCATCGTTAACTTGTATCCATCCTTTTCTGAAAGTGGCATTGTGATATTGCTGTCTGTGGCACATCTTACCCAATATAGCCCGAGATTTCTCCATTATCTGTAACCAAGCAACACTTTCTGAATACCAAAAATTGAAAAGAACCGCTTAGTCTTCAAGAAAGTCCTCAATAATAGTGGAAAAGAACAAAGATCCAGGAGACAACAAAATGCCACAGGGGTGACTTTTCATGAGCAATTATCTCTCATTAATCAGAAGAACAGCTGCAATATTAATTTTCTCTCTTTCTTCCTCTCTTTTCACAGCCCCCAACATTTGAATAATCATAAATTTTGATTTCATGGAGCAGCAACATTGCCAGCGACTTCGAGACACAAGCTACCTACGCAGGGCGCACGCTTTGCGCATAGCTCTGATTTTAAGGCTGCCAAAGAATAAAGTAGAGAAAAGAAAAGAGAGGAAAAGTTGGGGCTGGGTTGTTCCCCCCCGCCTCCTCCTTTGCCTCCGAGGACGGATTAAACCAGCCCCTTCCCTTTTTCACTCATGGAAAGGAACGGGCGAATGGACCGAGTGCCTGCGCTGGCTTAAAGCGTGGGAGTTTCAACAACCTCGCTGTCCATTTAACTTCCAAACATGAAGCCAAGCGTTGTAGATCTGTCCAAAGAGACAATCTTTGGGCGTAACACGCATTGTGAGACATCAAAAGACCCTGGCGTTATATGCACTAAGAAGTGCATTCAGCAAGAAGGGTGCACTGCCTCTCTTTTCAGGGGCTCAGCCGCTGATTGTTTAACAAGCGACGTCGCCGCGGCAAGAAAACCGCGCTCCTCCAAAGATAAGGATGTAACATTAAAACTCCCCCCCTTTTTTTTTTTTTCCCTCGGGGTCGCGGGGGGGGG